TCTGGAAGTCACGCAAGCATGTGTGGGTCTAGGGTTTAGGGTTTAGGGTTTAGGGTTTAGGGTTTAGGGTTTAGGGTTTAGGGTTTAGGGTTTCTGAAATTTTGGTCCCCTTTTATACCCCAAAGAGTATAGAATCCCCTTATAGGGACACCTAAAAAATGGTACCCCTACTTTCGGAAACCCGCAGGTGGTCTCCAAACGACACCGTTGCGATCATACCACGTTGTTCCATGTTGTTCCTAGAGCACGTCACAGTAGCTCAGAGAACGGCCGCATCTTCTTGTGATGCCCCCAGGAACGCCAGCATGCAGCCTATTTGGAGCAGTTGCGCCGTGAGAATCTCGACAGTTGTTTTGGGGGTTTCAAGGTTCGAGGAATACTGTGAGCATCCGCAAGGCCAAGAAATTCGAGGATTCATGCTTGAGCACTTGTGCTGCAGCGATCCTTCAGGGCCCAGGCAGCATCGCACAAGAATTGTTGTGCCTCTCAGGGTGCAGGAGAGATGCTGCTCAGGGGCCAGCCGCGTCCTTCTGTCGACTTGGGATGTTCCCCCTTATACTAACAGTCCTTAATACAGTAGGGATTATGATAGGGGGTACTTTCATCTTTAATCCACTGTTAGTATAAGGGCCTTTGTCGCCTTTGTCGGGCTTTGATCAAGATCTATATACCGAGGCTTCTGACATTGGTCGACCGCTGTGGAGCTGCTGCACCAATGGCACAATGTGTCTTGATTGAATGTTCCCTTAAAGGGGCCGCAAGCGGTACTAAGTTGAGATGCATACTGGACCCCTAAACCCTAAACCCTAATCCCTAATCCCTAATCCCTAATCCCAAACCCTAAACCCTAAACCCTAAGCCATCCGAAAAAGAGGAACAAGGCGACGCACGTTAAAGCGACCGCGCAGCAAGGTGTGCTTACGCGTGGTGCAACAGAGATTTCGAGCTGGGCCCCGTCATGTCCAGGTCAGTCTTAAGTCGGTTTAGGGTTTAGGGTTTAGAGTTTAGGGTATCGCGGCCGAACTCTGGGTCTCTTGACATTGATAGGTTTAGAGTTAGGGTTTTTAGGGTTCAGGGTTTTAGGGTTTTAGAGTTAGGGTTTTTAGGGTTCAGGGTTTTGGGGTTTTAAGGGTGCAGGGGTTTTAGGGATGCTTGGCGGGCCCGCCCCAAGCCCCTCAACCCTCCGGAGGTTCACGTTTGGAAGCGGCTGCAGCTTGGCTTGCCAGCCCACTTTTGGGAAAGATGGCCTTTCACGGGGGCTGTTGGGGGTCGACCGAAAGAGCGGCTGAAAGAGCGCAGCAGAAAGGGCATTTGCCTAGAGCTTCTTGGTGGAGAAGTTTTAGAAGTGCAACTCGTCCCCTGAAGACTCACCAAAACAACGAGATCCCCTCTACAACGGGAGACCACAAAGCCTCGTAAAACCCGGCTGTTTTCGAAATCCTCCTGATGCCCCCCTAAACCCTAAACCCTAAACCCTAAACCCTAAACCCTAAACCCTAAACCCTAAACCCGGAAGTTTTCTGAGCCCCGGAAAGCCCTCTTTTGAGGCCCCCTGGCTGCGGCGCTGGGCCACGTCCTCCCCCAGGGCAGCAGCCAAGGCAACTGCAGGGATTCAGGAAGTTCAAGGGTTTAGGGTTTAGGGTTTGGGGTCTAGGGTTTAGGGTTTAGGGTTTAGGGTTTAGGGTGTTTTATACGAAGAAGTACCTGACTCATGGATTCGCAAGGCTTGCGGTCGTAGCCACGAGTGCTGGGATCTGCGACTGTTGCTAAGACTTTCCGGCCAGGACATCATAGCCCGGATGCAAAAAAAGGTTTAGGGTTTAGGAGTTTAGGAGTTTAGGAGTTTTGGGTAGAAGACACTCGATTTCCAGCCCTAGCAGTTGCAGTTGTACTACAGACACACCCAGGCATCTCTTTTAGGGTTTAGGGTTTAGGGTTTAGGGTTTAGGATGTGCACCATGAAGAACGATAAACATTGGTGATCTAAGTAAGCGTCCTGCCGGTATCGACAGGCCCGTGAGATGCTAGATGTCAGTCGACATCTTTACCCTCAGCCACGAACCCTCCACACGACGTACACTAAAACTTGGGATGTTCCCCCTTTTACTAACAGTCCTTTATAGGGATTCTCATCGGGGTATTATAAACTCTCTTCAGGACTGTTCGTATAAGGGGGAACATCCCAAACTACAACCCTTAAAGCGTGGACCATAGAGCTGACCCCCGAATCTTAGAGCAGGCTGCCATCTGAGAACGTGAGCCAATTAAAGAGATAACAGAGCATCTTCGACTCGGAAGGCTGGCAGCCATTGAGGGTTCAGGGTTTAGGGTTTAGGGTTTAGGGTTTAGGGTTTAGGGTTTAGGGTTTAGGGTTTAGGGTTTAGGGTTTAGGGTGCTTGCATCTGACCAGGCAAGTGCCTTGCCTAGAAGCTTCAAGAGTCCACGACAGCCCTATGATCTTCACAGCCCGCTTCAGGGTTTCAGTCCAACCCACAACACCATCCGGGTTACGAAAGTAGGGGGCCCCTAAACCCTAAATCCTAAAACCCGAAACCCTAAACCCTACACCTAAACCCGAAGATTCTCCCTTATGATAAGGACCCCCACAAAAGGTACCCCGAATGTCGGAAACCCCCTCAGTGGTCCAGAGGACACTACTCCTGCTGTCGAAGAGGGCTTCGATGTAACTCGGCAAAAGCACAGGGTTTAGGGGTTACAGGGTTTAGGGGTTTAGGGTTTAGGGTGCATCGTGCCATTGGCGTACTGCGACGTGACAGGGATCATATTTTGCTAAGCCATCAGGCACGTGAGAGGTTTTTGCAATGAGTCGACTTGCAACACTTCTTGACACCACCGCATGCAAAGCCACACCCTCCGAAGACCTGCGACCGAAGTGCTGACACCAGGAGCGGTTGGCTGCGTTGCTGGCAAGAACACGGCTGCCTGATGCACAGAGCGCAGAAAAGGGTGCCGAATGAAAAGGCGTCGGCGTCAAGCGGCGTCAGTACATCCAGCCTTGAGAGAATATAAGCTTAGTAGTAGAGTAGGTAACCTTTAACCTTTTTGGGTCAATATATTCCCCTTATAATCCCAAAGGTTAACCTTTAAAACCCCTAGGTACTGGACAGCTAAGTAAGGCATATGGTTTAGACTTTAGGGTTTGGACTTTTGTGAGTTTGGGCTTGGGCTTGGGGCTTCATGGATCGTCCTGCCTGCATCCCTCTCCACGGATGATATGGTTAGGGCCAGATTTGAGGGGCGTGGTCACTCCCAAGGGTTTGTTCGGTGGTGGTACAGTAGCTATCAGGAGTGACACTGAATACGTAATGCATCGTCCGTGGTAGTACGTAGTATGTAGTACATAATGGCAGCAGCAGCAGCAGCAGCAGCAGCAGCAGCAGCAGCAGGCGTCGTGGTGGTGGTTGCGCAGCCCTTAAGTCACCCTTTAGAAACGGGGATTCCCGAAAATAGGGGTACCCTTGTTGGGGGTCCCTTTGAGGGGATTCTCTGCTGTATGGGTATAGAAAAGGGTCGAAGCCTTTTACCCCCCCCCCCCCCCCAAGGCCATCAACCTGTCTCACCGATCGGTTGGCAACATTTTGGCTTAAGCACACATGCACAGCCTTTGCGGTTGTTTGCCAACTCTTGTGGTCCATGGCTGCTCATGTCAAGGCTTGGGTGACGGTGGCTTAGGATTTGAAGTGGGGTCCGGTTTTGGCGTTATTTGCTGGTCGGAAATCTTGACTGCCTAAACTACCGGCCCTACTAAGGCTACCGGAGGATTCACGTTTGTGCTGTGTTTGTGTCTTAGTCAAACCCAAGTCCTTTGAGCCGGCGGATTTTGCACTGTTATGTCCCGCTGCAGCTGGCCAAGGCAGTTTAACAGCTTCCCAAAAGGGCTTCGCCCTGAGGTTTTGGGAGTCCATGATGGATACGTTTAACAAGATCTTTATACACAGGAGCACCGTAAGGAACCCTTCCATTAAGCCTGCACGAAGCCCAGGCGTGAGGTTTACCAGTGACTTCTCCCCATTGCCAAAGTGGCAAGCCCTGTAGATCACACGAGTCAGTGACCTGAATCGCAGATCTTCAAACTCGATTTACGAGTTCTTGCACTTAAGTTGCGTAGAAGGTCGGAAGCCCCTATTCGTCCCCTCAGTTATCTGTGGACAGACGTGAGCCAGGGCTTTCTCAGAGCTTTCTACCTACTCTCTTGGAGCGCTTCGCTGGGCTGGTCCGCGCGTGTGAGCCAGGTTCCCTGCTAAGTGTCGTTTAGGGTTTAGGGTTTAGGGTTTAGGGTTTAGGGTTTAGGGTTTAGGGTTTAGGGTTTAGGGTTTAGGGCTTAGGGTTTAGGGTTTAGGGTTTAGGGTCGCCAGGTTTGCCTTGTGGGGACTGGATGATATTGAAGGCTGAGGGTGTGGGGTTTCAAGGTTTAGGGCTTAGAGTTTAGGGTTTAGGCTTTAGGGTTTAGGGTTTAGGGTTTAGTATTTCGGTTTTGGCGTAGGTACTGTGGAATCATCATTGCAAGCGTCGCAACCACGGCCGTGACTATAATCCTCAGCAGTAGTAAGGAACGCTCGTTTTGATGGCAGTGACTACCGTTGCAAGTATTTCAGTAGGTTGTTCCACGTCTGTTGGGCTTTTCTGTCCATGCCTGTGTGTTGTGTGCACACCGAAAGCAGCAGGTTCATACCAGGGAGGTGGATGTCCAGACCTTCACCTGGAAGCCCCAAGGCATGGGGTTTCAGGATTTTGGCACGCCTCGGGGCGTTTGTTGGTTGGGCCTTGGGGTTTAGGAATTTCCGTTGCTATGGACCACCGGCCCCAGCTTCAGGGCTTCTGGCTAGGTTTGTATTTCAAGAAGGCGGGGTTCGTTGCACAAACTGCTTTGCATCTCGGACGAATCAGTGGTACAGTGGCACAAGTTTTCTGCAGGTACGGCATGGGCTGTAATGATTTGAGTATTGGGCCCCAGATATGCCTGCACAGCCGTAGCTTCCATGCTGCAGACCCAAGGTTGGTTTAGGGTTTAGGGTTTAGGAGCGACGAGCGCGACCAGGCGGGCTGCGATAAGCCTGTGCAAAAAAAATGGGTTAGGGTTTAGGGTTTAGGGTTTAGGGTTTAGGGTTTAGGGTTTAGGGTTTAGGGTTTAGGGTTTAGGGTTTAGGGTTTAGGGTTTAGGGTTAAATCTAGGATGCGTATCAGCACAGCTCCTGGGCTTGGCCTACATCAACCACTTTCAAGGGATCAAGACTCGGACCCCTTAGGTTGCACCCCTAAAAGTTCCGCCTTAGTCTACTCCGAATATGGCCGTTATACTACCTTAAGGACCATTAAAAAGGATCCCCAAAACCGAAAAAGAGGGTACAACCTTAAGGGTCCAAGGCACAACACCTAGATGCTTAGAATTTAGAAGCGAGCCCCCAACTCCAGATCCAATTGAAGACCCTACACCTACGAGGGTTTAGGGTTTGGGGTTTATTAGGGTTTAGGGTTTAGGGTTTAGGGAGGGTCCAGGGTTCTGTCCAACAGCCTTTCGCATGCCCCAGGCGGCTTCTCTTCTGAGAGCCAAGTGCGCGCCAAGAGTGAGTGGCTCAACCTTCGAGGTGGAGGAGCTGGGCACCCTAAACCCTAAACCCTAAGAGCTGTTAGCTGTAGGGAGTGTGATGGAATTGTAGAGGATGCTCACGAGTTTTTTTACAAAACATAAGCAGATCATCTTCCAACGGTCTGCTGGGATGTCAAAGTACGAAGGTATGCTGTCAATGGCACTTCGAGGCTTAAAGTTTCAGGCCTAGGGTTTAGGCTTTAGGGTTTGGGGTTTAGGGTTTAGGATTTAGGGTTTAGGGTTTAGGGTTGGCTGCCCTGGAGGCTTTGGTCTGTCTGCGTTTTGGGCGTGCAAGGTCTTCGCGGGTTGGATCTTGGGTTTACATGTACCCCAGACCTTTGAACCTCTACACCAGGCGGCTACTTGGAGGTTCATGGTACATATTAACCAATAATATCTGTACTTATAACCCACTTACAAGCCCCTTAAGTGCCCTAAGATGGTGAAGAAGCACCATGAGCCTCCAAGTAGGGTATAGGACGAGGCTTCAAGTCATCGGTTCAGGCTAGGTTCAGCACGGCGTGCGTCGGACAGGGTGTTCCTCCTTGTGTGCACTGCTGGCAAGTGGCATCGCACACAGCAAAAGCCAGTCCACATGCAAGATGCTAGGTTTAAGGCGACTTTATCTGTGTCATGCATGACGCGATCACAAGGCTCACCTCGGCCCTGTGCCAGGAAGTGTCCTCGATACCCCAAGCCATCAAACCTTAAGCAGGATACGTCTTCCTGGAGTACTGGGCCGAGAGCGGGCGGATCAGCAATGGGATAGACTTGTTCTTCCCGAAGTTTGCCGAGGTTCAAGGTCGGGGAGTCCAAAGGGTTTAGGGTTTAGGGTTTAGGGTTTAGGGTTTAGGGTTTAGGGGAGTCCAAAGCCGTAAGCTTAGTGTATGGCATGGGGCCGAGGTAATAACCTAGGGATACTTGGGAGTGATTTTTAGTTTTTGGAAACTACAATTGCTAAGAAAGAGCTAAAATTATGATCTTTGCTAGGGTTCCAAGTTCAGTATGGACAAGAAGATCCTCATGTAATAAGGATCCTCTTGTTTTTTGGCGGCCCCAAAGCGCGCCCGTTCTGAAACTGCAAACCTCCCTCATCCAGAAAAGCCAGGTGCAGTCATTTTCGCGCAGCAAGGCGTTACCAAGAGATATGACACTTGGCGGCCCCTGCAAAGACCCTAAGAGCATCCTAAACTTAAGCTTCGAACTAAAGCGACGGCAAAGGATTTCTCAGCCAACAGCGGGCAGAAGACCGTGCTATTTCACGGCGCGGTGCCCGACGCTGAGCTCGTGGTCGAAATCAAGGAGGTGGGAAGTGGCCAGCGCTAAACGATTTTGTGGGGATAAACCCTAAACCCTAAACCCTAAACCCTAAACCCTAAACCCTAAACCCTAAACCCTAAACCCTAAACCCTAAATGCCTCTTTCAAACCATATTGAGATGTCGGCCCCATCCCAGCAGAAGGGCTCTTCTTTCGAGTTTCTGGAGTTCAGGCTAAGAAGTCGTGGCATCAATCTGACTTCCCAAAGCGCATGAGTGGTTTAGGGCTTTGGGGTTTTAATCGCAGACCCCTAAACCCGAAGCCCTAAACCCTAAACCCGAAGCCCTAAACCCTAAACCCGAAGCCCTAAACCCTAAACCCTAAACTAACCCGGAGGCTGCGAGGCCCCGATCTCATTGCCCGTTCCACCCCACATCATTGAGCCCCTGATTGCTAGAGTCTCCTTAGGAAGTACTGTCTAGTTTGTTCCTATAATTCCCAAGTGGGAATATTGAAAATATTTTTAATTCATGTCCTAAGAGTGATATAGATTGCGCGTTTGGGTTTCAGAATTGAAGGCTAGGATATCGGATTTCTGGTTTCAAGCCTTTTGGGTTGGAGCCACTGACTAAATCATTGCTTAGCAGGGATTGTTCAGAGCTTCGAGATTCACGGATCTCAGGCTCAGAGGGTTTATGTCGGGATTTCCTTATGTAGTGTTTGTCCTGAGTGCAGGACTTGTACTTTAAACAGTGACGACTGAGTTCATGTTTCATGTGAGAATACTACCAGTACAAAGAAAGGTTCTTGGCTATAGGACAGCGGTGGAACCCGACAGAGCCCGCGGGGTCAAACAACTAGTGTGCTTCAGGGCTGCTGTGGGGCGTGCCCGACCATTAATGGAGATACCGATGTAGAGGCCCCGAAGGCACATAGGAGAGCTCGCTGTGAGCTCACAGAATACCCCAACCCTTGCCCCGAAACGGCTGCTTGGCAAAACGATGCTCTGGGATGTGTAGCTAACAGAGCCCCTACCTCATTCTCTCAAGCCTTCAGAACTGAGCTTTCGCATTCTTGAGGAGAATACGCCCTAATCTCATTCTCTAGACATCCATGCCGCTCTGCCACTTTAACTTCCACACTTGACCCACCTCACAGTTCTTGTTCCAACATAGAGAACAAGGGTTTAGGTTTAGGGTTTAGGGTTTCAACCGCAAGCCCTCACGGCTAACCCTAGTCATTAACGGAGGTACAAGCTGTAGGGTTCATGCCAATCTCCTAGCGGATTCCACCCTAAACCCTAAACCCTAAACCCTTAACCCAGTCAAGGTGACGAGACCAAAGATCTCCGGCCCCACTGTTGGCACAGAGGAGTTCTCCTGGAATCCGGAAGCTCTCTTGCCATTACGTTTTCTGCCGTTTGGGGTTTAGGGTTTAGGGTTAGGGTTTGTATGGTGACGACTGCCCCACTCCCCCCCAACTCTGTGTGCTCAGCCGCGGGCTGTGCCCAAATCAGAAGAATGGTAGAATAACAGCGCTTGCAGCCTTGCAGCACTTCTGCCCCGCAGAATCATCTTCTTGCCCCCCGAATCTCATGAGCCCCTGACGAAGTTCGTGCTTTAACGTGGACGTATATAGACAAGGGTTTAGGGTTTAGGGTTTCGGGTTTAGGGTTTAGGGTTCACAAGGATCCTAATACGGGGCCCGGGCTCTGTTTGGGAATACGAGTCGTTTAATCTGTAGCTCGCATGAAACTCGAAGCTTTTGGGCAGCCACCGAGTTTCATGTTGGGCTAGGGTTTAGGGTTGAGGGTTGAGGGTTGAGGGTTGAGGGTTGAGGGTTTAGGGTTTAGGGTTTAGGGCTAGAAATTGGGCATCAGCTGAAGAATTCTTTGTCTTGTGGAAACGGCTACATGTACTAGACCTTCAACAGTAGAACCTTGCCTCCAAATTTGAGACGCTTACATTCAGACTGCCCCTGTACCTTACAACCTAGGACCCAGAGTATGCCCTTATTCCCATTTTTTCGAGTTTAGGTTCCCGTTTTAAGCCCCTTGTTACCTATAAGGGCACTCTTTTTTCAAATCCCTAGCTTACTCTTGGCTCTTGGGGGTCTAGAAACTGGCCTTCAACCCCTCATGACTAACCCTGAACCCTAAGCCCTAAACCCTAAACCGCAAGCCCACAAACCTCCACAAACCTTGCACAAACCCCACGCTCTGAACCCAGGGAGCCTTCCCAGATGCAGAGCCTCGGCTCCGGGTACTTCGCAAAGTTTAAGCCTGAAACCCGAAACCCTAAACCCTAAACCCTAACAGGAATTAGGTGTGCGCAAGTGCTGGGGCGGGTGGCGAGAAGGGCAATTAGGGTTTTGGGCTTCTCACTTCAGTCCTGAGACCTTCATGGGCATGGCCTTTTCGGTCAACCCGATCCGTTTAGGGTCTAGGGTCTAGGGTTTAGGGTTTAGGGTTTTTAGGGTTTTAGGGTTTTAGGGTTTAGGGTCTGTTCTTTATTAGGCCCGAAAAGGAGATCTTGGAAGCCACAGCCTAGAGGCCTAAAGGAGACGCAGAGAGGCAAAGCAATGAGATCGTGGGTAGCAGACGCTACACCTAAAACTAGTGGCCCAAAAAACCACATAAACATAAGGATCCTACAAACAGGGTTTTTCGGAATCCTCCTTCTTAGGGCCCTTATACCCCAAGAGTAGGATCCTTATGTTTATGTGGCTTTTTGGGCCCCTAAAAACAGCTGGTGCCAGCAAAACCTAAACTTACAAGGGAGATGCAAAGTGCTTGGCGTCGATGGACACATTCTTGGCATGTGCGCATGGGTGGCAGAGGACTAGCCGCCCCCTCCCCCCCAACTCCCCACCCCATTTCCCACTTGCATGTTGGAGGGCCGTATCCGTTGTCATGACTACTATTTGCTTAAGAACCCCAAAAGAATGAAAAACAATACTCCCTATATTTCCCTAAATACGGAAGAACATTCTTTATTTTTCGGGGTTCTTAAGCAATTAGTAGATGACGGTTGTGTTGGCCATGGCACATGCTCTCAAAGTTGTTTCGCACTTGTTCCAAGCTTTGACTCCCCGAGGTGCATGCGTCTCCCTGAAACCCGAGACAGTTGCTACT